TTATAAAATGTGGAGTAGAACCAAACAACCATTATTGACATCAATTTCGTTTGGTCTAATTTCTAGGTTGTGATTTGGACAAAATAAGGATTCAAAATGGTTATGTTAAAATAGTATTTGGTCAGATAATTAACCACTGGCGCCAAAGTGTTGAAGGAAAATCTCAATGTGCATTTGGAATAAGTAGCTCAATTTAAACTGAACAGTGTCCAGACAGAAACATAAATAATGAAGGAAGGCAGCAACAAATTGATTTAAATGTAATCAGTAAACCTTAGGTATTATGTAATAGCAATAAAATGTTTCATTATATTCTCCTCAACTTTAACCATCACATGTCTGCACATCCTGTTTACATGTACTAAATTTACGAAAAATGTCAAAGAAATGCTCTGCACTATTATGTAATAGCAATAAAATGTTTCATTATATTCTCCTCAACTTTAACCATCACATGTCTGCACATCCTGTTTACATGTACTAAATTTACGAAAAATGTCAAAGAAATGCTCTGCACTCACTCAACGTCGGAGAGACAATCTATATTTTAGCATCACGTTTCAATTTATACACTTGAAATAAATAAGACCGATTTTCCACTGTAAGCAAGCAGGACAAATGGTAGACTTTCGATCTGAAACGCTGTAAACATTATACATCAACCATATAAATGCACACTTAGATACTAATATAAAAACAAATATTTAATTAGAGCACCATTTCATTTGAACACCCTGCAGTAGTTTTTCACAATTTTTCCCTATACACCATGAATTCTAAAATAAAAAACATTAGTAAATCACCGCTGGAAATATCAAAAAACTTTACCGTCTCATATGAGTTTTCAGATTTTTTTCTTCTCTAAACGTATTTGCGCACAATAGGCAACAAAAGGGTCGATAGCCTGAGTGTAATTTTAGATGAGTGTCCAATTCCTCTTTGGAGGCAAGTTTGTCATCACATTTTGTACATTTAAACTGATTATTGGTTGCATGCACTTTCTTCTGATGTTTAGTCAACGTCGCTTTGGTGACATAGCGTTTGTCACAAAGTTCGCAACTGTAATCTTTTACCACGTTACGTTTTTGAAGTTCGCCCGCATTGTCGACGATCGTTTCACCATTCGCAATTTCGCAATTGTTCACGTCTACTTGTATGAGGGAGGCTAATTCTTCGTTGATATTATCTTGCATTAGTATACCGTTCATCTGCAGTTGTTGCAGAAAAATTGGATCAATTTCCACTATCTGGCTCTGATTTGCTTCTTCAAAAGCTATGTGCAGAGATTCTTCCTTAGGACTTGCAGTCTGAAAATTTATTACTTAGTTTTAAAACGTTAGAAGACGATAAGTGACGTCTGTGATTGCAATTGACTCATGAATTTAATGTGAAAGACAAGTTCCTCAGGTAAAAACTTACCAACTTTACAAGTCATTGGAGCTTACAGGTGCGCGTATCTAAATATATTAGGAAACTCGTAGCTACACGACTTGGGATAGAATGATGCCTGTTAAAAAATATGAAAGGGAATGAATGGTATTGTAAAGAGCCTAAACGAGGGCCTAAGGGATACTTCCACAATACTTGTGTTGACTTTTAACCCAGATGAGGGTCGCGTAGCCAAATAGTAGTTGATCCAATCAACATAGTAAGTTTATCTCAAACTGGCATGCCATTAGCTGTGTAATTGGGATTGGAAAAGAGTTGTTAGAAATATGGCCGATCGCTAACAATACCGCAGAAACTTACCACGAAAAGTATTTACTTCTCTGTCTTCAGTGAAACATGAACAGATGAAAGGAACGATCTACTGAGCAATAGTAAACAGGATGTTTAGATTGGACCTTTCATTACCTAGTACTGAATGATCCCCAAAAAAGAATACAAACATCAGTTATTACTTTTTTCTTTGAAGAATCGCAAGATAAGTTTTCACTCTTCAGCTTTGTTTAATTCTGATGTCAATAAACGAAAATGTATGTTGCTCAAGTCGCCTAGAGACTCCGTCTTTGCCAACATATATATAGTATATATATATAATCATGAAACCTTTCTACCCTTAGGTGTAAAGGTATTATAGTACAGCTTCACATTTAACTTAAACAATTTCATTGTGATTACATTAAAAATGAAAAAAAAAGTAAATTCTCATAAAAAAAAAGTAGTATTTATGTGTGTACAAATTTCGCCCACTCTTTCTTATTCTTGGCCAGGGTTTTTGCTGCTCTCCATGTGGTATTTCTCGCCTCTAGTATCTTCCTTATGTTCTCGTCCCATGTTATCTTCGGTCTGCCCCTTTTTCTTTTGTGTTGGCTCCTGGATTCCCATACCTGCTTCACTTGTCTTACGTTGTCCATTCTTTGAAGGTGCCCCCACCACGCTAATTGTCTGTTTTCAATGAATTTTAGTATTGGTTGTACGTCCAGTTCGTTTCGTATGTGGTCATTACGTAGTCTGTCCATTCTTGTTACACCTTTTGTTCGTCTAAGATATTTCATCTCCACAGCCGTTAATTTACTTTTAAGTTTTTGTGTTAACACCCACGTTTCACACCCGTATGTCAAAATAGGTCTGTACACTGCCTTATACACATTTATTTTAGTTTGTTTTGAGACTTCTTTTTTACTTATGAAACTTTTGTTAATCGCGAAATAAAGTTTTAAGGAGTTGTTAATTCTTGCGTTGATTTCTGCATCTTCATTACCTGTTTCGTCTATCATTACCCCGAGATACTTAAATTGTTTAACATGTTCTATGGTTTCCTCGCGTAATGTGATTTTTGGATTCAGTTCTTCTGCTCCTATTGCCATGACCTTAGTTTTCGTGGTATTTATGCTCATGCCATTGCTTCTTAATTCCTCGTCCCACACCTTCAAATTGTTCTGCAAATCCTGTTCCGTGTTTGTAATAATAACTATATCATCCGCAAAAGCACATTCCGATACTAATACCCTATTCATCTGCCTATATCCTATAAAAGCCTTCTGTGTGTTAGCGTTGCAACTTTTAATAACATCATCCATAAAAATATTAAACAGTGTCGGACTTAGCCCTCCACCTTGTCGCAATCCTTGTGTTGTAGCAAAGAATCCTGATTTCATGTTTTTCCATATCACATAGTTAAGAGTGCTTTTATATAAACTTTTAATTACTCTAACCAACTTATTATCAACGTTTCTTTTCAGTAGACTCTCCCAAACTTTATCTCTGGGGATAGAGTCAAAAGCCTTCACTAAATCAATAAATGCAAAATATACTTTTCCTCCTAATTTCTTCTTTTCTATCATTTGTTTGATTGTGAATATGTGATCCTGCACTGATCTTCCTTTCCTGAATCCGCTTTGTGTATCTGTAAGGGTTTGTTCTGTGCTTACTGTCAGTTTCTTATTTAGTATTTGCTCATAAATTTTCATCACAGTACTTATTAGTGTTATTCCTCTGTAATTATTACAATCCTTGTTATCGCCTTTTTTATGGACGGGCACGATTACACCTATCTCCCAATCTTGAGGGACCCTTTCTTCCTCCCATGCTTTGGTATATATCGCTCTTAGCAACTCTTTTCCGGAAAAGCCCATGTTTTTTATCATTTCTCCGGTAATTTTGTCATGTCCGGGTGCTTTATTGTTTTTTATTTCCTTCAATGTTTCTTCGATGTCTTCCCCTGTTATCATTCCTGTAACATTTTCATTTGTGTTTCTTGTTCTTCTCCTAATACTTCTTTCGTGTGTTGTAGGACTTGTATTGTTTTCACCGTCAAGCAGTTTCTCGAAGTATTCTTGCCATCTCACCATTATTTGCTCCTCATTTTTAATTTTCTCGCCATACTTGTCTTTAATTTCCATAGGTATGTTAGTCTTTCCCTCCTTGAGGGTTTTCAGCACCTTGTAAAATAACTTTTGATGGTTTTTACTATCTCTCTGCAGCTTCTCTCCAAATTTGATCCAAGCAGTTTGTTTAGCTTTTATAATAGTATCCTTGACCAATCTTCTTTGTTCTTTGTAAAAATTATAGTTTTCGTCATTTCTGTTTGCTAGGTATTTTTTCCATGCTGTTTTTTTTCCTTCCACTTTCTCCCTAATATCGTTTGTCCACCATGATGTTTGTTTACGTTTGTTCGAATGCTTGCATATTCCGCATATCTCTCGAGCTGTCTCTATCGTTATGTTCTTGAATTTTATCCATAGCTGCTGTAATGACATGTTTCCTATGCTGCCAGCTGTTTCTGTCATTTTTCGATGTGTTGTCTCTTTATACTTCTTCGCAATGTCCATGTTAGAAAGTTTATACGTTTTTATTGTTTCAAATTCCATTTTCTTACAACTCAGCTCCTTTTCCTTGTGATTTTCCACGTTTTTTATTCTTGCTACCAATAGATAGTGATCACTGCCGATTTCAGAGCCTCGTCTTACCCTAACATCTAATATGTCGCTTTTAAGGTTTTCCGGTACCAGTATGTAGTCGATTATTGATTTTTCATCTCTGCCAGGTTCTACTCTGGTATATTTATGGATGTCTTTATGTTTATAAAATGTATTCGTTACTATAAGGTTATGCATTTGGCAAAAGTCCAATAAGCGTCTTCCATTTTCGCTCCTTGCTTGTTCTCCGTATCTACCAATAACTGATCCATATATCGCATCTTTCCACCCGACCCTCCCGTTAAAATCTCCTAGGACGTATATCTCCCCTGTACATCCTTCCATCACCTCATTTAGTTCATCCCAAAAAAGTTCTTTCGTGTCCGCTTTATCATTTTCATTTGGTCCATATGCGACGATGATAAATCTATGTTGTTTGTCTGCTTTTTCGAGTTCTATGAGAAGTATTCTTTCTGTTCTTGCTTCCCATCGATGAATTTTATCCGTTAGTTTGTTGTGTATTAAACATCCAACACCTGCCGCTGCTCTATCTTGTATTTTCACCCCGCTGTAGATAAGGACATGACCGTTCGGCAAATACTCACACCCTTGCTTCTTCTTTTTTGTTTCAGTTATCGCGAGTATATCTAGCTTGGCGTTTTCGAATTCTTCAGTTAGTTCAGTTTCTTTCCCATTAATGCTCCTGATGTTCCAAGTTGCAAGTTTCCAGAATAAATTTTTGGTTTTCCTTATGTCATTACCTTTTCCATTGCAATTTTTCGTTACCATGTGACTGTCGAGATATGTGTTGGTTAGTTTTTTGGTGTTGATGTGCGCGTTACTTTCCTTGATTGTTCCATATAGGAATCCCCTGTCGGTGATCTCTCGCTTACTGTACGTTTGGCAAAATTCATTCTTTCTCCACCTTCCGTTATGTGACTGCTACTTAGCTCTTCAATACCGTACATTTCTCCATTAATGATTAGTTTGTTATACTTCATTTGTGTTTTGTATCCTTTTTGCTTCGCTTCTTTCATGTGTGGAATTAACATCTTCCTTTCTTCCAAAATTTCTCTCGAGTAATCCTCATCGATCCATATGTTGCTACCTTTCAAGTTTTTAGAGCTATGTAGGATTTGTGTTTTCTTCATACCTGATGTTAATTTAATAATTATTGGTCTTTTATACTGGTTTTTAAATTTCCCTATTCTTCTGATTTCATCTATATCATTTTTTTCATCCATTTCAACCCCTATATCTTGCATTAACTTTGTTACTTTATCTCGCGTGTCTTCAGCTCTTTCGTTTATAATATCCTCAACTCCTTTGATTATGATGTTTTTCCTCCTTATTTCTCTTTCCAATGAGTCTATTTTTCTGTCTTGGTGTAGTATTTTTTCTTTCATTAATCGATTTTGTTCCTTCATTGCAGTGTTTTCATTTATTAGTCTTTCAAATTTATCATCCATTCCTGTTAATTTGTTTGCTATTTCGGCGAACATGTTTTCTATTTTTTCCATGTTACTTTCCTCCATGCTGTATTTTATTACCGTAAATGCGCTGTAATTTTTGTTTGGCGCGCTCGAATTTTGTTAACGTTTACGCGCTATAATTTTTATTTACCGCGTTCAAGGGCGCCCGCTATCTATTTGTTTATTTAGAATGTCAATTGAAATTATACTTACAGTAGATTATTAGCCGTTTTCCACTTTTTAAGCCCGATTTTACGTACACTGGTTCAAACTGTGAAGCTGTAAAATGTGTTAACACTAGTTATTTTTCAATAAAGTTTACTTATTATACGAATATCGAATTATTTGTCTGCACAACGCGGTGAGCCGTACATACGGTTTTCACTCCGCGAATCAATTCATAACAATGGCATCGAAATTAGCACCGACACCACTACCAACATACAACTTAGATGACGAAGCTGATTTGACCAAAACACAAGAAATATTAAATCTCGAAACTCCACCAGTGGCCCAAATTCATGACTATCTATCTGATTTAAATATGAGCGATATTAAAGAAAACATTATGACAGAAGATCTTGATCTAGATATTTGTTATAGCAGTTTTCTTAATAACAATAATATTGAAGAGTTGTCCGAAAAACCAAATAATCGAGAAGAACTTATTTGGCTCACTGATGAAAACCATAACAAAAATTTAAAAACACTGACTAAAAATACATGGTGTTTCGAAATTCGCGCACAAGGACTGTGGGATGGTGTTATACAACGAAAACTGAATAAAAAGTTCCTCTACCAGGTTTTGATCAGACCGGCACTTTTTTTTTCGACTTGTTTACTAGCAGACGGTGTACATTTTGAACAACTGTTGTAATATTTTGTTTTATTTTGAACCTTCTTTTGTTTTTAAAAATGTGTTATCATTAAGTTTAACCAGTGGCGTAGCGTAGGGGGGGGCGGAGATTTTTAAAACCGCGGTAGCTCGAAAAATAGCAGTCTGATGGAAAACTGGTTGAGGAACTTTTTGTTCAGTTTTTGTCGTATAACATCATTCCATAGTCCGTGTGCGCGAATTTCGAAACACTCTGTATGTCAACCTCGATGAACCAAAAAGGATTAGATTTGAAAGAAAAAGAAGAACGAAAAACAATAAAAGAGAACAAAAAACCCACATCAAATGTTAAAGAACAAAAAGCGCAAAAAAAGAATTCTGCAGTTTTTGAAAATGAAAAGAACATGGAAAGAAAAAACGTGTATTTCCGTCAAAAAAGTGGGGAGTCATTTTTTACCCCAATGCAATACCTCCCTTACTATCGTGCGGGTGGTAAAAAGGAATAAAATACTACAACTGATTAGATTTTTTCGAAACAGACAATCTTGTAAAATCCGTGATTTTGCAAGCTTTGCCGGACTCTTAGTTCCAGTATACCCAGCAACGAAGTACGGCTGGATATACACAAAACTCTTCAAAGCATTATACGCTTTGAGAGAGAATAACACATGAACTTTAATGCATCCATGCCCATTCTGAATTTTGATTGGTGGCAGAATAATGTCCAGATGGTCAATAATGGCTATCACTCACGAATCTTTCGCTTTCGAGATTTTCTCGGACGCATCGTCCACAAGTTGGGAGGCATGCTGTAGGAACAAAAGGGAGCGGGGATAGTGGTTGACAAACGAACAATTACACCATATTAATTTTATGGAACTCCAAGCTATCCTCCTAGGGTAATTTTGTTTCACTAAAGTTTAAAGAATTTTCCTGTCGTTGTCAGATGCGACAATACCACCGCCATCGCATGTGTGAGTCAAGTAGGCAGTGTGCAGCACGAACGTATGAACAAACTAGGGAGATCTGGCAATGGTGCAAAGAGGGAAATATTAGGATATTTGCTTCCTATATTAACACCAAGGACAATTGGGAAGCGGGTGTCGAGTCTCGCGCTTTTCGTCCAGACACAGAGTGGTCTTTAGTGGACTCTCTCATTCAGAAAATAAAGAGCAGACTGAAAAATACCATATATTGATTTATTCGCCTCCATAGCTAATCGCAAATGCGAAATGTGGGCAATCAGATCCAGTAGTTCAATCATCCTAAGAATATTTCAAACAGATGAAGCTGAGGGTGTCGTAGTAGTACCATACTGGTCTTGACAACCTTGGTTACCAGTCTATGTGAAACTGGCAATAGACAGAAATTGGTGGAATTTCCGCGTAGTCTGAGGAGACGACGTGTTCTGGGCATCAACCCAAGAAGTGATTTCAGCAAAACCTCAATACAACTGCGGTTGGGAAACTAGGCAAATTTATAATTACTTTGAAACACATCTGGCGGAGCTTATCACATTACCAACGGGGCCAAGGTTGCCAACCCTCTCCCTTACCAAAATATCAAACATCTTAACTGCGGAGGATGGAATGCAGATTGTAATTCCGGACAGAATCAAAAGCCTCTAGGCTACCAACCTTGTTTGATTCTATCCAGATTCAATGATCTTCCTCACCTATGCTTTTTTTCCTACTTACAAGTTACAGGATACTGAGAAAATCTGTTCTTAACCTACCAAAAAAGGAAAGCAAACTTCTACAACCGCCCTCTTATATCTATACAGGACAGGACATGCATTTTAAGCAAAAAAAACTCTCTATGAACGTATGTCCTAAACGTTTTAATTTTTGAGATACAGGGTGGTCAAGTTTAAAAAAATCAGTTTTTTAATAATAACAGAGATAATATTGCAGCAATCTGTATGAAATTTGAAAAAATAATTTTTATTTTAAGAGAAAGCAGTGGCGTAGTTTTTTTTCTCCAAAAAAATTTGCAAAATTCACTGGTAGAGAAAATAAAAACTTTTGCACATAAGAAAATGCACCTTGATGCATAGAAGACATGTACCAAATTTCATAAAGATCTCTACAATATTAGCTCTATTATTAAAAAACCGAATTTTTTTTAAAACTTGACCACCCTGTATCTAAAAAATTAAAACGTTTAAGACATACGTTCATAAAAATTTTTTTATATTAAAATGAGTTCATGAATCACCCCCTTAAATATTAGTATGTCTTTAAGGAACACTCTGTATATTATGTAGAGGAGATTTCTTGCAGTAAGTATATTCAATATATAACTCCGCCAACGAATATAAATTTTATTTGTCTTAGTCTTAGTCACCACTAATCAAGCTAGACCACATTTCTGGGTAGATTGGAAGAATACTAATAAAAAGGTTGTCTCTTACTCTACATCTGCTGGCAGTCCCATATTCTAAAGCAGGAATCAAATAAGATGACTGTTACAAACAATATAAATATAGAAGAAACCAACTAAGGAATGGAACACATTATGTGGGAGTGGTTTCAAGCAGTGATGCGGTTAAGCTACGGCAGACAAGCACAGAAAACTCTGTCGAATGTACGTTCACTAACATAAGTAATGATCGCCGAATAGGTAAATCCTGCAGCATATGAAACCAACATTTTAATATATTGTGCAACTTGGAAATGTGAACCAACCAACCAATGAAGTTGCAGTTGACCTATTAGGCGATCATTACTTTTGTCACTAACCGTACATGGGAATCTGTTACTCTCCAATATATCCAGTATCTACTCAATCTTATTATTATTGTAATAAAAACCTTCCGACAGAATATTTTACATTTTACAGTGTTACACATGGTGAGATAATGGAAATGAAATAAGCTCATTTTAGAGTAAATTTTCTAAAAAAAATTCTCCATCTCATCAACAATGTATGATCTCCCTGAATTAAGGTGAGTTTGTGGATTATATCAATTTCAAATAAAAGTTCTTTGTTAAAGGTTATTTAGTACATCAGGTCTGAAACAAAGCTACTACATAAAAAAATAGGCAGACTGTGAGAAAATGGACTCAAATCTGGCCGAGAATCTGGCTATAAGCTGCTAATTCCACTGACTTGTGCAATTGATATATGTTATACCGTTCAACCATGTTGATCATTACCTCTCCAAACCAATCAAAATCGCTACCATTTAATGTGCACACTAAATGAATTTTAGAATAAAATTGAACGTTCGCGGTAAAAAATGAAAGTTTCATAATCTAAAAATACCTTTAGGTGCACATGAGGAGTATCTTCCTTAGTACTTTTATTTTCCAAATTCTGCGCGTCCAAAGTTATCGCCTGCAACAATTTTATTTTCGAAGATTTGGACTGGCCATTCTTCTTGGAATCATTTGTTTTAAAGTGACCTCGTATATGAGACTTCCTATGAGCCGAAGTACGAAACTTCTCCGAACAAATATGACACGCAAACGGTTTCACACCTAAACATATGTAAAAATATCCCATTAATACGTTTCGGTTCTTTTACCTGTATGCACTAATGTATGTACTTTCAGACTGGACTTTGAGCTAAAGTTTGAACTACAAACGGCACAACTGAATTCCTTGTTGCCACCTGGCTGATGTGTGCGATCGTGCGACTCCAGCGTTGATTTGAGAGAGAACCTTTTCCCACACTTGTCACATTTATATGGACGTTCGCCAGTATGCGTCCGTATGTGCCGAGTCTACAAATAGAAAAATAGCAAAACACAATATAATAATCAATCTCACCATATCCGAGCGTTTTTTAAATTCTTTAGTGCAAAAGGGGCATACATTGCTTTTCGCCGTTATGTGAGACAATAAGTGACGAGTGTATATCATTTTATTTGAGAAATCCTTGTCACAAAATGTACATTTGTACTTTAGATTTTCACCCTCTTCAATACAAAAGAGGTCCTTTTCGCTGATCTTAGCCTACAAGTTTGTGCTAATCGATGAACAGGAATAGTCATACTTACCCGACGAGTGCTTTTCTTCGCTTCCACTTTTCTGTTAGGTCTCGTCCTACCCTTGCCTTTGAGGTCATCCTCTTTATCTTCACAAACATGATTTTGGAAATCGGCAATATCATTCAAACTCTTCTTGCACGAAGAACATGACAAGTCTAGCTGGTTTACTGAATCGACTGCATCAAAGGATCCCTCCAAGGTAGGTGCGTTAGGCAACAAGTTCGACATTGCAGGATTCCCAACCAAGGCGTCGTCACTTAGCTCAATAAGGTTCCTGTCGATCACATATTTCTGGTCGGTCGTTTGAACCTTTTTGCTGGAGTCGTTTATATTGGCAAACAAAGGTATCTGATTCATATCGATGTAGTCATCGGTCGACAAGACAATGTTCTGAAAAACGTTATTGACGCTGAACGTCGGCAGTAAGGTTTCCAAGTTTTGCGTGTCCAGCTGGGAGTCAGTAATTTGGTTTAGTGTAGGGTCCGTCGAAAACATCAAGTTCGGATCTTGAATTTCATTTATTCCGCTCAGCAATAACGGATCGTTGTTCTAAAAACATTCGTAAGAGTCGCAGTCGTTTTCAATGATAATCGCAGCTTTTCTTACCTTTAATTGTGACAAGCAGGCGCTATAAAGATTAGCACTAGTGAATGACTGTATGTCGTCGGAATTTACATATACGGTTTGGAAATTGACGTCGGATGTGCCTGTTAAACTCTCTTGGCTGAGATTTGTAACATTTTCGTCCATGTTTTCCAAAATGGTTGTAGAGCCAGTGTTCGTGAGTAATGAGACATTTCTGGGTTTGTTTGGAAATGGTACAGGTTGATCCAAAGTGGCTTGTAAGTTGGGTACTATCTGTAAAAGTAACAATCTGACGATAAAACCAAGAACAGTTCCCAATTAAGCATCATTACAAGTTATATTTCTGGGCAATCATCCCATATAGGTTGCAAATAGTACAAGATCCCACATATGGTCAACCTTCGCTCATCTGTTTACCAAGTGAATTACATTTTTTAGCAATCTTAATATGTAGGAAACAAATACATTGCAAATGGGTTGCTTAAAAAAATTAAATCTGCTTCTATCACACGGTATGTCTATTTAAAAGAACCATTTCTGGTATTTACGGATGTGGTGCCATCTTGAAATTGTTTTATTTCAATTTGCAATGGTCAAATATGACTGTAAACCAAATTTCAAGTTTCTATTTCAACTATTCAAACTTCTAACGTACGGTTTAAGTGAATCTCCCTATATACCAATAGTCCAGCCAGTAGGGATTTTTGTCCTACAACAGTTGATGTACTGTTTTAAAAGTTTGCTCAAGTCTGGGCCTTGAAACAAGAACTATGTTTTCGACCTTGGAGGAGGACAAAAAGGAAACAATCGATTTAAAAAAATCAAACGTTAAAATAAAGGGAACCGGGCTTTCAAAAGAAGATAAACTCAGCATTTGGAGAAGTATGGACTTACTTAATTCCTTCTGTAGTGAACCCATAAATAGCAACGGTAATGGCTTACTTAAATCGAATCTTGTACCGATTATCAGAATCAATTTGAAAGAAAAAGAAAATTTGAAACAAACAACTTTGCCGTGTCAAGAATTTGGTTTTGAATTAGCATTTTGAAACCGAGCGCGGTCGCCACGATATCGTCAAACCTTAGAGTTTCCTTCCGTTTTAATTAAAGCCTAGCACGTGACAAAAATACAGGTTTGGTATCCGTTAAAAAAGGTACGCTAGTCGAGGTTGTTGCGTTCAGAAAATAGGTTCCATTTCAGAATTTCTAACGGGCGAGTTTAAAATAAATAGCGAAAAAAAAAGAAGAGTTGATTTTCGCGACAGGTCACGTACTACGTGGGGTACGCTGAAATTGAATTCTTAGTGAAGTTACGAACGTGAGCCCGTACCAAATTGGGATACGCTTATTATTATTATTGGTTTATTTCATGTATTTACAAAAGGTTTCCGTTTAACTTCAGGAGTGACCAGGTTTTGATGTGTGAAAAAATTTATTCGCGGTCGATTTTTTTGCTGGATTGTGAGAGATAGCCTCGCGTATGTGTGAAGATTCGTGTGCGATTTCAAGAACCAGAACGTGCATTGAGTGAAATCTATCCGAATAGTAGTAGAAACTAAGCAGTTTAACTTCGGGTACATATTAAGTAGTGAAAACTCCTAAATTCGAGTATGTGGTGGAGAAACATTTAAACAAATTCGGATTTCTGACAAACAGAATTATCTGCAATTTTATGTGTGCGAATAGACGAATTACACGAAATTATGGGGGGACAAAAAACGTTTTAGTAGCCTGATTATGTAATAATTAGTGATTGCCGAAATTAGGATACACGTGCATAAGGTTTCAAAACTTTGAGTTCAAATAATTGTTGATTCATAATCATTGCATTGAACTGATTTAAATTTAATTGCATTAACTTTCTTGCGAAAACGCTTATTATAGCAGTAAGCATTATTCCACTTTCGGTGTGTCACTAGTAGGTTAATATTACTAACAGTAGATTTGTAATCAAGATCGAGTAAGCATGTACCATTAATTACTGTCTACGGAATTTATTCAATTCCTAATAAAATAAATATGAAGTTTTCGTGATCTTAATTAAACCAAACCCCTGCAAATATCACATGGCGATCCTGCCAGCCGAGTTGGAATTTCTGTAGATCCTGCCAGCCGAGTTGGAATTTCTGTAGAACCTGCCAGCCGAGTTGAAATTTCTGTATAAAATGCTGTAAGTGGAAAACACAAAAATTTTTTGAAGGAAGAAAATGGGAGGAACACAGTCTAAAGAAGAAGTTATCATAGCACAAGCGGGCAACAGCGGAGGACAAACTACGACACAATTTACCATAAAAGAAATTTTAGAAATGGTAGTAGGCGGATTAGTCATAATCGTTATACTAATTGGAATATACAGATTTTGTAAGAAGAGGTTGGAACAGAAGATTAGAGATGAGCTGTCAAGGAGTGTGGAGCGAGTGTAAAGAAGAAATGTGGCTAGTGTAGTGAGTGGTTGTGTAGGATTGTGTAATGTGCGAAACCCTTTTCAAACATCTATACGAAGAGCTGAGGGTAATTCACCGCAATTTATTAAAGGACTCTGTAAGTAGACGCAACGATCCCGGTACTACTGAACGTAAGTTTAACAAAGTTAATAAATTAGAGCGAGAATTTGAGGAAATTAGGGACAATTTTAATAAAAATCCATCTAGTGAGGATATAAGGAAACAAGTAAAACAGTATGTTGAAGCTATTTTAAAATATTTTGAATTAATTAACCAAATATTAGATGATAGAATAAAAGAATGTAAGTTAGATAGGCAAGCTTTAGAGTTAGGCACCCATTCAGAAACGGATATACAGGTTTCAAAGTTAAATATACTACCACTAACGTCTAGTACTAGCAGTATAACAATGGGAGAAAAATTTAATTTAAACACCGCGGGAAGTTTGTTGCCATTAATGGATGGCCCTAGTTCATTTTCTCGTGTCATGACTATTGCAATGTCTGGATTAACGTATGATAAATGTTTCGTATACCTAGATGATTTAATAGTTTTTGGTAATAATTTAATCAATCACAATAAAAATCTAACAAAAGTACTGCAGCGGTTAAGGGAAGTAAATTTAAAATTAAACCCATACAAATGTGAATTTCTAAAGAAAGAGTTATTTTATTTAGGTCATATAATAACACCCGACGGTATTTTACCTGATCCAGCAAAAGTCAAAGCTGTTAAAGAATATCCATTACCCAAGGACGCCGACGGCGCCAGACGATTTGTAGCATTAGCAAATTATTACCGTAGGTACATTAAAAATTTTGCAGATATCGCAGCACCGCTAAATTATTTGTTAAAAAAAAATGTTCCATTTAGTTGGACGGCGGAATGTCAGTCTAGTTTCGATAAATTAAAAAATTCTTTAATAAAACCACCCGTGTTACAATATCCAAATTTTTCAGAAGACAATCATTTTATTTTAAAAACTGACGCATCAGGAATTGCGTTGGGAGCAGTTTTATGCAATGGTGATGATAAACCAGTCGCATTTGCAAGCAGAACATTAAATCAAGCAGAAAAAAATTATTGTACGATAGAAAAGGAACTTTTGGCTATTGTGTGGGCTGTAAAACATTTTCGTCCTTATCTATACGGTCGTAAATTTGAAATTTTTACCGATCATCGACCATTAATTTATTTATTTGGCATGAACAACAAATCTAGTCGACTAACTAAATTTCGTTTAATTTTAGACGAATATGATTTTTCAATTAAATATATACAGGGAAAACAAAACGTAACTGCAGACGCTTTGTCTCGTATTGAAATCACTTCAGATGAATTAAAAGCTATGAATTCGAGAATTGAAGAAACAGTTCTTGTTATAACACGTTCAATATCACAAAATCTAGACAAAAATAACGTAATTCTTCATGATAGGACTGATCACCCTGGCGTGGTAGAGTTGCTAAAGAAACCAATTAAAGCTACTGAATTAAGACCAATTTCACAAGAAGAGTTTTCCAAAATTTTGAAGAATAAAAAGTATGATGTGCACATAGGAGAATATATTTATATGATAAGGAGTTGCAACTAATTTATTATTGTATACAGGATTCTCGATCAACGTCGTCATTAAGTGAGTCGTTGAGAGACCTAGAATATATATGTAAACAAAATAATATTCCGGAATTAATCGTAATAAAAAAGAATCAGAACGCGTTCTACCCAAATAGGTTTTGTATAAATAAGAACTTCCTAAATGAAATAATTAAAATTGGAAAACAATTGAAAACCAGAAATTTAAAAATTAGTATATTAAAAGATATTGAACATATAACCGACAAAGATACACAACAGTTAATTATTAATGATTTTCACATGTTACCTACAGGAGGGCATGCTGGAATCAACAGAACATATAACAATATAAAAAGGTATTATTTTTGGAATGGATTACAGAAAGATGTACAAAATTTTATTAGAAAATGTGATGACTGTCAAAGGTATAAACATTCAAACGCTAAGATTGAACCGATGGAAATAACAACCACAGCTACTTCCGCATATCAAAAAGTTTATTTAGATCTGATAGGTCCATTAGAACCAGATGAAAAAAACCATAAGTATATCCTTACGTTACAATGTGAGTTAAGTAAATTCGTAGAAGCATACCCTTTAATCAATAAAGAAGCTAATACCGTAGCCGAAGCTTTTGTACAAAACTTTATATTAAGGTATGGTGTTCCAGATGAAATAGTTACAGATAAAGGTACAGAATTTTTAAACTCAACATTGACAGAGGTTTGCAAAATTTTAAAGATAAAAAAAACTAAATTCAACAGCATACCACCACCAAACTTTAGGCTCTTTGGAAAATTCTCATAAAAACTTAGGTTCATATCTCAGAATGCAGATTGCTAATCACCCAGATGCATGGAGTACATGGGTATCATTTTGGTGTTTTGCGTACAACAATTCGGTTCATACTGAAACGCGTTACACGCCTTTCGAATTAGTTTTTGGTAAAACTTGCAAAATTCCTTCAAATATAACAACAAAAACTGATCCAATGTATAATTTTGATAGTTATCCAATTCAATTAAAATACCGTTTACAACAAGCATGTCAAGATGCTAGACAAAATTTGTTAAATTCAAAGTACAGACGAAAAAATTACTATGATTTGAAAAGTGTAGTTACAGATTATAAGGTAGGAGATAAGATTTTGTTAAAAAACGAATGTAATCATAAAATGGATCCATTATTTAAAGGTCCGTTTGAAATAGTAGAAGTTAAGCAACCAAATATTGTCATTAGAGTAGATC